CGGTCGACACTTGACAATCATCATTGATCCACATATCAAAGCAACAGACACCTACTGGGTGCATAAAGATCTCACTGAACGTGGCTATTATACAAAGAACAAGGATGGGAAAGACTATAGAGGTATGCTTGTCATTATTTGCTTATTTTCCATTGGTTCGTTTATTCCGAATTTCACCAAAAGTTGAAAAATTCAAGTTTTTTCAATTCATAATTTGTTTTGCTTGCAATTTATAGGTGAGTGTTGGCCAGGTACATCCGGTTGGCCGGACTTGTTCAACCCAGACGTTCGTAAATATCTAGCTGATCAATATCTCTTGGAAAATTTCAACGCAACGAGCAAGGATGTGTTCATTTGGAACGACATGAATGAGCCGAGCGTATTCAGTGGGCCAGAACTAACAATGCCAAAAGATAATTTACACAACACCGAGATGGGAACATATGAACATCGTGTGGTGCATAATTTGTACGGTCACATGCAGTTGATGTCAACTTTCGACGGTCTTGTTCGTCGTGGAGCAGGTAAGCTGCGTCCATTCATCTTGACTCGTAGCCATTTCTCCGGCAGTCAGCGTTATGCTGCCATTTGGACAGGAGATAATACGGCTGAATGGGGTTATTTGCAAGCGTCTTTGAAGATGTGCCTATCAGAAGCTGTCAGTGGGTTCTCGTTCTGCGGAGCTGATGTTGGCGGTTTCTTCAAAAATCCAAACGCAGAATTGTTGGAACGTTGGCATCAAACCGGAGCCTTTTTACCTTTTTTCCGTGCTCATTCTAATAATGACACTGAACGGCGTGAGCCATGGCTTTATCCCAAAGCCACAAAACTCATAATTCGTGATGCAATTCGCAAGCGATACACATATTTGCCACTGTGGTATGTGTTGTTCTACGAACACGAACGCTACGGTTACCCAGTGATGAGACCACTTTTGAGCCACTATCCAAATGATCCAGAGGCGTTTGCCATTGACAACGAATTCTTGTTGGGTGATAGGCTCTTAGTTCATCCAGTAACACAGTTAGGTGCCACCAAAGTCGATGTGTACTTTCCACGTAACAGCCCAACTGGTGAAGGCGACTTTTGGTATGACGCCGATGATTTCACACTGTTTAATTCAGTCGGTTACGTTACCATTCCGGTGAATAGCTACAAGATTCCAGTTTATCAACGCGGCGGTGCTGTCATCCCGAAGAAAGGACTTGTCCGTCGGGCATCGACATTGATGAAGAACGATCCATACACGTTGATCGTCTGCTTGGATCGATTCAAGGAAGCCAATGGCACTCTCTATGAAGATGATGAAGAAAGCTACGACTACCGCAACGGAAAATACGTTTACTCACAAATTGAGTTCAAAAGCAATGTGCTCAGCAGCAAATTGATCGATCCGACTGCAACATTCGAAACATTGGCTTGGATCGAACGTGTCGTCATTGCTGGTTTGGACAAAGCCCCAAAATCAGCCACACTTTCAACCGCATCCAAACGCGTCTCACTTGATGTTGTCGAACACCAACGTGCATACTCCGTTCGTAATCTTGCTGTTAATATTGCTGAAGAATGGGAGATTACTTTGAACTACTAAAGTTTTGTTTGAAAATATGTTGAAATATTAAGAAGTTAATTTTATCTCAACAAAGAAAGTGATGATAATAGGTGAAACACCACGAATCAATTTGCAACCACAGTTGTTCGCCGAATTTATTGCATTTTTTTCTTCGTTAAACATATATTCAATACATTCATAGTTTGTCGTTGGTTGAATAATGTTTCAAATATAAATGTGTTTTTGTAATCAATTTGTGTATTTCATGATGGATACAATAAAAATAAAAAAAAAACAAAACGTACGAGAGATCGAATATGTCTGTTTCTTCTTCTCTGTGTAGACCAGTGAAAAAACTTCAGTAAGAACTGAACGCAATCATCTGAACTGACGTTTGTGACTGACATTTAAATCACCAGGTCAGAGTTTAAATGAAACCAAACATCGACATTTTTTTTATTAAGTTTTTGAAAAAAAAAAAATAACTCAAATTATAAAAATGACTTTTAAATTGAAAATTAATTGAAATATATTAATTTTTTTTTAAATTTGTATGATTTGAATCAGAATACGTAAATCAAAAATTATTATACTTTGAATGTACTCATTTCACACAGATAGCTGGCTAACGATTGGCTTACACCAGTTGTTGGTGTAAGCCAAGGCTAAGACAATGCTGGCTAACGAAAAACCATCACTGTTTATCTTTAAATGAATCATACGGGTATTTTGAATTGGTATGGGTTGTTCATTTATCATGATATAGTGGAAGAACTCACTAACTTGATCCAAATCTTCTGGACTGATATTTATCGAAATATAATATTTAATATATTCTGATTGAAGCAAAATCAATGAGAACATCAATAAACAAATGAATAACATTCTCACATTCATCTTTATACAATTTTGTGAACTTGTTTCTGTTCTGAGCTCAAATCTTGTACTAAAAGCTTCATTTCCTTGTCTCTTTTGAGTAAACTTTCATCATTCTCTCAGCACTTCAGAGAAATATACTGTAAATGTCCCCACTTTAGTGACCATTTCCTGCCTTACTTTGGCATGGACAGTTGTGAAGGTCGTATTCATATTATGTGCTGTAACACATGAAGCTCAAAATCAATTGAATTCCAAGTAGTTCAATTGCAGTAAGCTGAGTTATCATTCTAGCTACGATGTGAGCTTTTCAGCTTGGCGAATTTAATGAGTTTTTGAGTTGAGCATTGTGACCAATACGTCCTTTATTCTCTCACTTACTCCTGTGGCACACAGCTACACCCATTTAGATTTAGTTTGTTTGAAGAAAATCTTAAATCATATTTCTTTTGTAAAAATTTCATTTCGCATTTCATGTAATGCTATAAATCTGTGAAATCT